TCTCTCTCTCTCTCTCTCTCTCTCTCTCTCTCTCTCTCACACACACACACACACACACACACACATAAGCAACTAAAAAAAACGCATTGCCTTTAAATATAAGTGCTTACTTAACGAGGCTAACAGTTACTTTTGTACAGATCACATTTTCCACTTTAAAATTTTAGCCATAATGTAATCACAACCTTACTTATCCTTCACGAATACAGATGGAGGATTGGTCTCACCTCGAGATAAATACAAAGACAATTTTATCACGCATCGGTTAGCATTTTATGCAGTATGATAAACTTTGAGTGTGAAATAAAGAAGAAAATTATTTTCGACAGTGGTGGGGAAACACAAATTAAATTTTAAATGTGAAGTATCTTCACGCTTTTTAAAAAATTATTGCTACAATTTATAGCCGACTTTTATTGATTTTCGCCACAGAACCCCTGGCATACGCACCCAGTTTGAAAAGCTCTGCTGTAATGCCTTGGTCGAATCGGCAGACAAAGACCTTGGCAGCTGCTGTATCACGCAACCGGGTCGATGTTTCCCCCGTTACGACAGACTTAGGCAACAGCAACTTTTGTGGTAATGAGAAAGTTATTACAATCCATCGCAGTGTATGCAGAAACGGGTGTAAGGTAACCACTATTCGTATTCAGTCCGACCGCAAGTATTCGACCGAATACCGAATAGTTATGAGGTCCACTATTCGGCTCCGAAGCGAATACGAAGCGAACATTCGGTACAGCCCTAATTTAAACAGATTATGAATTTCGTTATTACTTTTCACTTTCCATTTCTAGCTGTTTGCATCCTTAATGGGTCAAAACATCCAAAAACTGGTTAAACAATACCTTATTAAAACATATCAAAACTAAAAAGACCAGATTAAGGATTTACTCAGTATAACAGAAGGAACTGATGAGATGGTAACCCCGGACATCGTAGAGTCAGAGAGATAGTGTATGATGAGTGCATAGATGTGAACATGGATACATACACAAGGATGAGTGCGTGTAGTATGAGTGCATTTGTGTATAGGATGGATACATAAGACACAGTGTATGTAGGCGGATGGTACGGAATCACGTGTGGACAGAACAGTGGGAATATAGTTGTGCGAAAGGTACAGATGAATGAGTACATGGATTTAAATGTATTACTGTATGCATGTATATGTGGGTATGAGTGTGCATGTGTGTATATATATGAGAGCGTGTATATTTATATATTTGTGAGTGTATGAATGACAGTGCAATCAAAGAAACCATAAACTGTGTTGCTGAATGTCTGTTCATTAATGAGAACAAATGGAATGAAGGGTGTAAGCAGCAAGAACGTCATCAACGCACACCATCCACCAAAACATGATACGTCAGTACCGGACAGGTCGCATACCAGTAACGGGACATAACTTAAAAGTGACACGACCAGACGAAATTACAGACAAAGCGACACAAAACACATAAGACATGGAAGAGTGAATATCACTACGTGTGGATGTACTCGTTTTTTATGAATGTAAGTACAGGCATTGGTAGACGCATATGAAAGAGTTTGCGTGTGTACGTAATGTCAATTTGGTATGCATACACGGATAAGTATGAAAGTACGTGCAAATATGTAGTGTTGTCTGCATGTATGAGTACTTGAGTGCATGTACGCATACACCTAGTTGGGTGCGTCCATATACTCCGGGGATTCATACACAAAACCATCCCACTCCACAGCATACATACAACATGCACATGACCGACAGGACTCATAACAAAATATGACTGACAGCAAATAGGGAAAACAAGTGACTCGATAATGACAGGACTAGAACGCATAACCTCCAATACCACCCCATCACTGGGATGATAGCAAAGGTTGGTAACGTGATACACATAGTCCCGGCAAAAGGCCACGCTAGAATCCAGCAAGACGGCAACGACGAGAATTGACTGAATGGCCTCCCGCCCCCCTTCCTCTCACCTTTCCCTAACTCTTTCGGATGCAATATGAGTTTAACCCCCCAACCCATTCCCACAGAGAGCACTTGAGTTCGTTGCCCAACATGCCACAGCAATTCTATTCGCCGAACATTTGGATCTCAAAGCCTGAGCTGGACGGTCCGGTTATATGGTATTTACGTACACCGGAGCTTAGCTATCAACACAACCCGATCACATAATAACAAATGACGACTGGACCCGCTTAAGACTCCACATAAACTCTCACACACATATCCATTACATGACTAACCCGTTCATATTACAGGAAGACAACTATAAGACCACTATGGTCACACGCGGAAAATTTTCACATTTTGGAACTATTCACATTCAAAAACTGTTTTCAGTACTTTTTGGCAAAATTAAAATACTCAAAATTTTAAAACAATAAATGGTGGCCGAAAGGACGTTGTGTATGGAAGCTCGCTCTCCTTCGAGATACGCCTAGCCAGATCAAAGGGAGACAGAACAAACAGGAAACACTAAGAAAGAAGAAGGAAGACATGCACCAGTGACAACAGGACGAGCGGTTTGATTCGGATGGAAGCATCAAGCCCAGAAATGGCACACACACCAGTATTCAGTCACGAAAATGACGCAAATAACCCAGACCACAAATATAGGCGGAGACTGTTAGCAGCCTAGGCTAGCTAGCAGCAGTCTGAACGTGGTCGATTTTTTTTTTTTTTTTCAAAAGGACCTGGACTTGGACTTAATGGGTCCAAAGATTCGTCTTAGACCTGTAATAAGTCTTCGTCTCTTTCAGTTGTGCTCCAAGTTTCAGAGCCACATAAACGACTGGTCTTATCGACGTTTTTTATATTTTGTTCTTGGTGTTGCGAGACAGACACTTTGACTTTAGCAGATGTTTATTTGCAGATTGTATTCTAGATAGTATTTCTTCTCTCAGCATCTTAAAGCAGTTGAAGTTTGCACCCAAGTACTTATTTGCTACCGTTCGTTTGATTTTCATTTTATCGACATGTATGTGGCCGGAGTTTATATCCTTTCCCTGTTTAATTATTATCATGTATTCTGTCTTATTTTGATTGATAACTAGTCCAATTTCCTGAACTGATTCTTTTAAGAGAGTCAGTTTTAACAGTCTCTAGGTTATATTCTCCACCGAAAACAAATAGACCCTTCTCGATGGAAATGTGAACACACGACCATCCGTTTCGTGAAGCTTTAACTAATATATTAAGTTTCTATTGTTGATGTCTCTGTAAAAAACTTCGCTGACTGGGCAAAAACTAAATTCCTTACCTCGGCAGTGACATGTGCGACTGCATGTCCTCAGAACAAAGCTAGAACAGCTTCAGACCCGAATTCCCCATTAGTAAAAAGTGGGTGGGGTTTCACTGTAATAAGAATGGACGTTGTATAGAACAAACAAAAGCCAGGCGTATAACATGGCATTTGGCATGCAAATGAAGATGGAATTAGTAACGCCACCTTTCTATGATTGGACAGTTATACTGTCCGATATGTGGTATATAACTGCCATAAATAGATATAAAACTGTTCGTAATTATAATTGATTCGTAGACCTTGCTTCGATGTTTTTTTTTAAACGGATAGGTTTTCTTGTGCGTGGAATCGCTTATATCGCTTAATAGGACTCACGGAATGATATAAAACCGAACGAAAAGAATATCAGCGAGCTTCACAATATAACAAACCCAAACAAAAAGCGAACGTTGCGGCTATGGAGACTTCATCAGCACATACACAAATTAGACAATACTACACAAATACACAATATCATTTTTCTTCGTATCTCGAGGCAGCCAGGTCGATGTTGAGCCAATTGACTGGCCAGAGACATGGAAACGGGGAAAAAAATATCCTGGGGAATGCCAGGGGCCGTAACTCGAGGATAAGATGAAACTTTATAGGCAGTTCAGTCCCTTGGGATTTTAGATGAAGCTGTGTTGGCAGTTTAGTCCACTTGGCGCCAGTGTTCCAGAAGTGTATATAAAGGGATTTTCAAGAGACTTGCGAACTCTGTCACCTCCATGTCGTGGACACCTTGGTGGTCCTGGGACTTGAAATGCAGTGGTACTGGTTTCAGGGCACCGTTTTTCCTATTCAAAAGATGTCTGAACCTGTCAGCCAGTCGTAAACCCGTTCCAGGCTGGTTCCCTGAACCACATATGGACAGATCCTCCATACAGGTCTGTGTCAACAGACCCTCCAGAAGTGGGACTTAGACGCAGGACGTAACCGACTCTTAACTAGAATTTGCTTGAGGCCAGTAGGGAAAGTTTAGAGAAAATGTTACTGCCCTAACGAGAATATTTTTTGCATGAATTTGTGAGGGTGGTAGGTAAGTATGAGAATGGGTCTGCTGTGGTGACGTTTAGATAAGACTCAGAAAAGAAGCATATCGAGTTTTTATCCATTACATTCGGATGTACGTAGTAATTAGTAGGCCCAAAAAAAAACAAAAAAAAGCTGCGGATGAGCTACTTTGTGATAAAGCAGAAGTTGTGAAGGCTCTTCTAGGATCAAACAGTTCAACGGAACAAAAAGATCATCCTATGTGAAGGGACGATCGGTCACAACTTCGAGCAGACAGTCCACACCCGGGGGGGGGGGGGGTTACAGGCCACATTTCAGTCAGGTTACAGCTGGCACTAACAGAAGGAGACCTCTGTTTTGCGCACTGAGGAACAGGTAGAACTGAATGTACTCACCACTTGTGGGGTCTAGGCAGAGGGTCTCTGAGTCTGAGAACTCAGGGCCGCGTGGTTAGTGCATTCGCCAAGGACTGTGCAGGTTAGGACTGTATTTTTGCCGCGACCGAAAAAAACTTACCCAGGATTAAAACTCAGGTCTCGATCATGAGAGCCATGCCTTCACAGCAGTTTGGCCAGCCGTTCCTCGTGAGGATGGAGCACACGAGGTAATGTCCCGAATGTTGTGATGTCAATTCTTGATTTATTCATTCATTTTGAACTTCAGCGAGCCCTATATTCCTACGACGTACCCTTGCTCGGTGTCCAGATGTTCTCATGTAACAGATATATTTTCGCTGATAGTTGGCTGGCATTCATTACACAAAGCAATACAGCTACGACACCTGGATACACGTGCATAGAATCGATGGGGATCTTCAGCATATTCATGCTCAAAGTCCTTTATAGAACATGGTTCTCATGAAAGCCCTGGCAACTACTCATTCCTTTGCAAGGCACCTAAAGCCTTTATTGGCAGGGCTCTGCTCAGATTTATAAAATTATGTTTATATATGGTGCTGTTAACTGTATAACGAGATCACAGTAACTGAACTGTCACCTTACAAGATTCATAACTTACCTAACCCCCCCCCCCCCCCCCAACCCCCATTAACTGGTAAAATTTCAGTTTTGTACGCACATACACTATGTGTTAAATTGACTGTTGACACACAAACACTCAACTAATGAAGCAAATCTTCACGGTGCCTGAACACATAACGGGCAGATAACCTGGCTGTCTCCCGGAAAACTATCCTAATGGATAAAGGATAATGAGGAGATATTTCATAACTGTATCATTAAGGGACTCATGGTTATTTCAAACTGTTTCAACAGTCCTTTTTTTTTAAGCTCTTCCATTGTGTTTAATTGGAGAGCTATTAGCTGATCTGAGATGACCAGAGAAACATCTCTCTCCATCTCTCCCCACTCGCCCAATGTTTTTTGTGTGTCAGCGCCACTGCTCATGTGTGAATATTAACATGTCTGAATGTGTGTTCACGTTAGCCTAGCGTCGTGCTACAATTAGGACCAGTTAACAGGCTCACAACGCGGTGAAATGAGTGAGTTACAACATGGTGAAATATGTGAGTTACAACAAGGTGAAATGAGTGAGTTACAACATGATGACATGAGTGAGTTACAACACGGTGACATGAGTGAGTTACAGCATGGTGAAATGAGTGAGTTACGGCATGGTGACATGAGTGAGTTACAGCATGGTGAAATGAGTGAGTTAGAGCATGGTGACATGAGTGAGTTACAGCATGGTGAAATGAGTGAGTTACAGCATGGTGACATGAGTGAGTTACAGCATGGTGACATGAGTGAGTTACAGCATGGGGAAATTAGTGAGTTACAGCATGGGGAAATTAGTGAGTTACAGCATGGTGACATGAGTGAGCTACAGCATGGTGACATGAATAAGTTACAACATGGTGAAATGAGTGAGCTACAGCACGGTGACATGAATAAGTTACAACATGGTGACATGAGTGAGCTACAGCATGGTGACATGAGTGAGTTACAGCATGGTGACATGAGTGAGTTACAGCATGGTGACATGAGTGAGTTACAGCATGGGGAAATTAGTGAGTTACAGCATGGTGACATGAGTGAGTTACAGCATGGTGACATGAGTGAGTTACAGCATGGGGAAATTAGTGAGTTACAGCATGGTGACATGAGTGAGTTACAGCATCGGGAAATTAGTGAGTTACAGGATGGTGACATGAGTGAGCTACAGCATGGTGACATGAGTGAGTTACAGCATGGTGACATGAGTGAGTTACAGTATGGGGAAATTAGTGAGTTACAGCATGGTGACATGAGTGAGTTACAGCATGGTGACATGAGTGAGTTACAGCATGGTGACATGAGTGAGTTACAGCATGGTGACATGAGTGAGTTACAGCATGGTGACATGAGTGAGTTACAGCATGGTGACATGAGTGAGTTACAGTATGGTGACATGAGTGAGCTACAGCATGGTGACATGAGTGAGTTACAGCATGGTGACATGAGTGAGTTACAGCATGGTGACATGAGTGAGTTACAGCATGGTGACATGAATGAGTTACAGCATGGTGACATGAGTGAGTTACAGCATGGGGACATTAGTGAGTTACAGCATGGGGAAATTAGTGAGCTACAGCATGGTGACATGAGTGAGTTACAACATGGTGACATGAGTGAGTTACAGCATGGTGACATGAGTGAGTTACAGCATGGTGACATGAGTGAGTTACAGCATGGTGACATGAGTGAGTTACAGCATGGGGAAATTAGTGAGTTACAGCATGGGGAAATTAGTGAGCTACAGCATGGTGACATGAATAAGTTACAACATGGGGACATGAGTGAGTTACAACATGGTGACATGAGTGAGTTACAACATGGTGACATGAGTGAGTTACAGCATGGTGACATGAGTGAGTTACAGCATGGTGACATGGGTGAGTTACAGCATGGGGAAATTAGTGAGTTACAGCAAGAAGGAAATTAGTGAGCTACAGCATGGTGACATGAGTGAGTTACAGCATGGTGACATGAGTGAGCTACAGCACCGTGACATGAATAAGTTACAACATGGTGACATGAGTGAGCTACAGCATGGTGACATGAGTGAGTTACAGCATGGTGACATGAGTGAGTTACAGCATGGTGACATGAGTGAGTTACAGCATGGGGAAATTAGTGAGTTACAGCATGGTGACATGAGTGAGTTACAGCATGGTGACATGAGTGAGTTACAGCATGGTGACATGAGTGAGTTACAGCATCGGGAAATTAGTGAGTTACAGCATGGTGACATGAGTGAGCTATAGCATGGTGACATGAGTGAGCTACAGCATGGTGACATGAGTGAGTTACAGCATGGGGAAATGAGTGAGTTACAGCATGGTGACATGAGTGAGTTACAGCATGATGACATGAGTGAGTTACAGCATGATGACATGAGTGAGTTACAGCATGGTGAAATGAGTGAGTTACAGCTGTGGAAATACCATCGGATTTGGAAGCAGAATTAGTTCCCCCCCCCCTTTTTTTTTCCCTTTCCACACACACACCAGTAAAACATAATCACGAAAAACATTACAAACGTTGCGGCTAGCCGGCTAGCGACCCTTCATCGGCATATAACACAGAAAATGATATAAGTGCACGCTAACAAACCACGAAAAATAATTTTGCTGCTTTCAAATGTATATTTTTACCAGGAGTGGAATTTACTCTCTATAAACGGCTGATTTTGTATGCAAATTTTTTTACCAGGGGTGGACTTTACGCTTTATAAACATCTTATTTATTCTGTGTAGTTTTTTTTTAACATGACATGGGTGATTGACTATGATAAATAGTAAAAGCCGAAAGAGTTCCTTATAAAATACAATGCACTGTGCTAAGAATCTTGTGTGATCTGTAGGAAAGACTAACCCACTTCAAAAAGATATCCCTGTGTAATGATCCTTGGCAACTCTAGTCGAAATCACAGGGATAACGTTTCACAGCAGGCGCCATATTGGCCATGACGTGATATTTGAAGAAACGTCTCGAGAATTGCATTGTGAAGGGAGATAACGCTGGTGACGTAATCTCTCGTGTGGTGACTAATGCGAACATAATCACTTTTTCAAGTCCTGAATTCGTGGGTTCGAGGGTTGATCTCTGTGAGGACATGGTAAATCCATACGTACACCTAGTCTGTGCCACATTTATCTCAATGACAATGGATTATGCTAACTCTGGACTGCAGGAACAATTAGTGTGTGTTTATAGCCACCAGGTGATCGTTCTGTGTACACCTCAGACTAGCAAAGGTACCTCCTGTGTTACCAAGTGTTACCTGTGTGTTTTTAAGTTAGTACAGATTTCGGTTGTACGCCTTGAGCCCTTCTGAACGTTTTATTTTTCATAAATCAGTCCGCATTGGGGATGTGATGCGGTCAATTCCAAGGTGTTCACCTTTACTCTATAGAAATTTTTTTTTTCGTTTCATCCATCCAGTATTATTGCAACCGGAAATATTGAAATCCAGTGACTTCCCAGATACCCTTTTGTAATCGTATAAAACAGGTTTAAGGGGGGCAAAAAAAAAAAAAAAGAACAAAGACAACATAGGACAAGGAGATAACTTATGCTAATAGAAAGAATACTTGAACAGGGAGAAGAGGCTGGTAAGAAATGAGAAAGAAAAAACGTGATAAAACAAAGAACACAGGAAAAGCGAGAGGACACGAGAATGAGATAACAAGTGACAGGGGAGAGAACACACGACAAGCGCAAGAAAACATGACAATGGAGAAAAAAGCTGGACAGGCCAGGTAACAAGTACAAGAGAAAGAGAAAATGTGCCAAGGAAGAGAACACATGACAAGAGAGAGAAAAGATGAAACGGGATATAACAAGGACAAGAAAGGAAACAAATGCTAAGGACAGACTCAATGTGCTAGCAGCAGCTGATATTGAACAACTCCTACTTTTCTTTCTCTGGCAAGGTCTCTTGTTAAGTGCCATTGACTATGATCCGGGCCTTCTCACTGTTAGCACAAACCAGCTAGCATGACTAGTAAGTAAAGATCCCCTTTCACGCCTTTGGCGCATGGGGTATATGGGAAGAACATTCCATATTTTTACAGACCAATCGGCACTAGGTGGATAATGTGGTCAGCATTACACCGGTCGTCTTTACTTCCGCAGGACAGCCATTCTGGTACCAATGTTAGGCTGGGTCGACCTGCGACGTCCCGTACCATGATAAAATCCACACAGAAAGCAGTGGGTTTCGATCGCCCTATGATGGAATTACGAGTCGACTAACAACGCCTAAGCCACGGACGCTGCCTAGCATGACTAGATCGAGTACAAAATGAGGCCATGAGACTGATACTCGGTTGTACAAAAGTCACCTCTTGCCACGCAATGCGATATGTTCTGGGTTTGTCGACCATGGCTAACAGACACAAAGTTGCACAGTTGAAGGTCATGACTGGTGGTATGTACTCCAGAAAGCTGTTACCGCCACACGCTGATTAGGCTGATTGTGTCACGTTAGGCTTAAGGAGCTAGTGCAAATTACAATTATGTCACTCCACAAGTGGGAGATTTATTGAATGCGTTAGTTTTAATACCTTGTAAGGTTAATCGCTGTACTTGATCTATCGCAGTCTCCCATGGTTGGTATGCGGTTAATGTTTGTGATACTTTCAAGGCACAAAATAGATCAGATCACAGTTTGGCTGACACTGCCTCATTTCCTATTACTTAACATGCATGCATACATACATACATACATACATACATACATACATACATACATACATACATACATACATACATACATACATACATACATACATACATACATACATACATACATACATCCATACATCCATACATACATCCATACATCCATCCATCCATCCATCCATCCATCCATCCATCCATCCATCCATCCATCCATCCATCCATCCATCCATCCATCCATCCATCCATCCATCCATCCATCCATCCATCCATCCATCCATCCATCCATCCATCCATCCATGGATGGATGGATGGATGTATGCATGCATGCATATATATATATATATATATATATATATATATATATATATATATATATATATATATATATATATATATATATATACAAACACACACACACACACATCTTTAATATACGTTTTTCTTTCGACTTCCAGAAGCAATGCCGCAAAGAATTTTCCGGCTTCTTCACCGAGCCAGAACAAGATCACAGCGGAGGCGGGTCTATGCCTGGATTGTTGTGTTTTCTCTCTTCCTCATCCTCATTCTGTATGCTCAGCACTCATCAGTCATCACCTTTTCACAAGTTGTCTCGCGGGAAGAGGTCAAGGCTGAGTTGTCCCTCACTGCAGACGCTAACGGGGATCGTAGAGGTCCAGATTTGAAACTGTTAAACACAGACGATAACAACAACAATAATAATGGTAATGTTAACAATGTAGATGATTACGCTGATGACAGTAGAGCTGATCTGCTGCCTGATTTAGCCCCACCCATTATTCACTATATCTGGTGCGGAAACAAGCATTTTGAATTCAGGCATTATTTGAGCATTAAAAGAGCTGATGACATTATCAGACCTGACAAAATATTCTTCCACTACCAAGAACTGCCGAAGTCTGACTCTGAGCAGTACTACACCTGGTTTAACCAGACAGTCGCTGGAAACGACCACATCGTCCTGAAATACCTCAACCGGTCAACTTGCCCTGAGTCAGGAGCAGAACGATATATGCTAGTTTTGAGTTTGCTAGAATATTTCGGTGGCATTTTTATACCCGAGGATGCAATTCTAGTGGATTTTCCGCTTCATTTGCGGTCTGCAGGGTTCATGTCGGGAGTTGTGGCCAAGACTCTTACAGAATATTTGGATGGCATTATTGTGGCCAAGAAGAATGGCTTTATTAGCCCGTCTAGTCAGAGTGGTCTCAACGTGGTCCTGGCCTCTGGTCGGTCAGCGGCTCAGGGCACCATCAAACCTTGTGGAACAATTGAACACTTCAACACAGAAGAGCAAGGCGACTGTATCTGCGTGAAGGTCAACAGAGAAATCTTCCCATCCAACATCTGGCATGATGAGTCAAGATTCTCCACTCTGACTCGATTGGCTGCTTATGGAGTTGGCGAGGTGAGACCAAAGTTTAGTCAGAAAAGCACGATTCCGAGAATAGCCCACTACATTTGTTGGGACTGTGAAGTGAAATTCGGCCCATACTTGAGCATTCTAAGTGCCTTATACATCGCTGGTTTGTCCAAGGTAATTTATTGTCTGGTGTTCTCTACTGGTTTTGATGTGTCATTGTCTGTTCAATTCCCAGCAATAACAGGTTGACTTTCTCATCGGACCTTTGACCGGTGTCGCCGTCTGTGGCTTAGGTGTTGCAAACGCGCTTTATAATACCCGGGTGCCCAATTGGATCCCAGCTGCATGCAATTTGGCAGCAGACCGTCTTGCGTTAGTTTCGGTAGTGGAATTAAGAGCCGACATACTGGACGTCAGTTTGCTTAGAAAAACTACAACAGCAAACAAGAACAACGCCCGTGTTGGTTCTGCAACCTCCTCTAAAGGATACTGGGCGCCAGTAGATATCATTGTCAACGCCAGTGAGCTACCATTACGTAGGTCACGTCCCGTGTTGCCTTACACCGCCCTCGGGAAAGAGAGAACAAAACATGAATGCATCTTTTTCCAGACAAATACATCAAACATAATCATGGAAATCAACGTGACCACAAATCTTTCGCATGAGCACCAGAACGCCAAAATGATATCTTTATCTGTCACTTTATAAACAGACTACGAAATGTCACAAACGGCTTATCCGCTCAGATTATATAGAGAGTTCAGAAAAGAATGCACGTGCTGACCAGCTCGCACAAATGCAAACGACGAAAAGCAAGCACTAACAAGACTGACTTGTAAATGTGTATGGTCTAGTTGACGGGTGTTGACTAAATCCCTAATCCAACTATACGATCTGTGAGTGACGTCTGGCCAAGCACGCCGATGTGTCGTGCGCGTGGTCAAGGCAGGCATTAGTAGCTTCTCATCGAAAAAGTCAATAGATATAGTTTGGGTTGGATGTTGTATTGGAGGACTGAGCATGCGTAGGGATGCCTAGTGGGCAGTGCCACCGATTGCGATGGCGCAAAATCATTAGTCAAAGCTCTCTTTATTACTTCCTACTTCCTGACCATTCTTGCATACGTCAAGCATTTGTCTCTTAACTGCTCTTTTCCATTTTCTGTTAACTATTCCTTACAGAAATGCTTTTTTTTTTTTTAAAGGTATCAGAGTGATTTAGATACTGAAGCCACGTAAGTCCTCGACATTTGGACACCTTTAGTTGCGTATCCTTTACAGGGCGTTTCAGAACCAATCCCATCATTTTTTTCTACACACATTTACGCTCAGTAAAATAAGAAGATAGTTCTGGTGATTTTCTTATTCACGTATTCGGTCCTAAACTTAGGCATTCGTCTTGGCTGTGCTCAGTTTTAACCACGTCAGCAGCATTCTCTTGGTCATGGTATTCAGTCGCGTGCACCATTAAAGTAAAAGATAGTCTAATGCCATTTAATATGTTCCAATATCTGGATTCCCTGTTAACATGCAACTGAAAATCCATTCAACACGTTCAGTGTAGAATAGCCCCGGATAAAGAATATTAATGTAATACTTTGTGTCATTTGCGGTGAGAAAAGCTACATATTGCCAGTCTCGTTATAAGGTTGTGAATCATGGTAGGTCATCATATTAATAAGCCATTTTGTGGAAGCTGCAGAGATGTGGTTTTGAAAAAAGACGGTGAAAACACTATGGACAGATGACTGAATAAATGCATGAATTAATAAATAAATAAACGCATAAATGAATGAATAAATGAATGAACGAACGATTGAATGAATAAATGAACGAATGAATGAACATTACTGAACTTGAAATAATCCCACTGGTGCCGCTTTCTCTTCTCCATAGCAGACGAAGAAGTCATGCTGATATTGCCAGTTCAAAATTCGCCTAGTCTTGTTTCGCCTTGCGTGTAGAAAATCGTCAGTTCACTCGAGACTGAATCAGTAACTCAAGATAAGAGCAGTGAAAACAGAAATACAAATGTTGTCAAAGAAATGCACTCACAAAGATGTATCCGCAATAACGGCACTTGCTGGGACAATGTTATCAGCTTTTACTTGAGGTGACTTTCAAGGTGTGAAACACAACAGCTGAAAGCTGCATGGTGCTCATGGCCCTGCTAAGTCAGTTCCTAGAATACCAGGAAGGTCAACGAGCTGAAACATGCCAGGACTATGGCTAACGATCAAAGACTTTCTGCATTGCTTGCTGGGTGGGGCAGTTGAATTTTCAGACTACAATAAGTGATAATTAGAGAGTGTATACCTGTATGTAATTCGGTGAGCGATAAAGAGTTTGTGTAGTTGTGAGAGAGAGAAAGTTGGGGGGGGGGGGGTATAAAAATACATGAGCATTGCAACTATTGATGTGTCAAATTCCCAAACACTCAGGTTTACATTCATGGCGTGAAACAGCCGACCGGATACTGGTGGAAAAAGTTGCAAGAAACCCAGAAAGTCATTCACGTGTACCGAGAATACCCAGAACATTCTAGCAACAGAGCCACCATGACACAAGAATTGGCAGAAGGTAGGCTGCTGTGTTTGTTTCCGTTTATGGGTTGATAAATGCGACGGAGTAAAAGTTTTAGAGACAGCCATTATATTATACATTAATCGCCAGAGGGAAGCATGTTGATTCCGCGAGACCAGCTGCAGTATTTTACCTGTATAGTCTACGGCTACAACTGTTAAGTAATGCTTCTGGTATCGCTGCTGTTGCTACTTTATTTTCTTTGACCTCGTTCTGGAAGTGATGTTTCACCAAGAGAAGTCCAGCTTTGGCGATTAGTTTATCTTCATAATTTGTAGCTTTTCTCTGTGGATTTTGAGACCTAATTATTCTGATTCGCCGTCAAATGCTGTGAATTTATTGTGCATCAAATTATGTGCGTGAAACAGGAAGTCCGTGTTTTCAGCAACGCCCTTAAGAACACTATCAGCAAGACACAGCATGCATCCCTGCTGGATTGTTGTTCTGATTTTAAACATATCTATTAGTTTAAGCCTGTCCCTCTGCCGACCTCACGAAGGACTTGAGTCATGTCTTTATGTTCATTTATTTATTTACCTATTTCTATGGTTTCCTACTGTGCTTCATTAATTTCGAAATAGATTCTCCATCAGTGCTGTCAAAAGCCTTTTCATTGCCCACTTATCCCATAGACCGGTGGAAAAAAGAAGAGACCGCAGCGTGAGGAAGTTCCAAGGGGGCATCAAATAGTTTTGGAAATGTGTACATTTGTACTTGTAACAGCGTGTTATAAGAATTTTTTTTTTTTATGTTATTATAAAAAATATTTTCTGTTCTATCCCAATATCTCCCCCCCCCCCCCACCCCCAACAGAAAGTTGAATATTTTAGGGGGTGGTAGATAATCTGCATGCAGTCGTGGGATCTAGGCTGCAAGCAGTCCTGGGAACTAGGCTGCACTCTCTTGTGGGACGTAGGTGGGTTGGGGTTAGACCCAGTTCTAGATGTTTTGAGGCAGTTAAAAGTATCAGAAAGCCGAGACATTTGCTCTCACCACCCTCGAAAATATTGGACTGTCATGTGACGTCATCGGGGGGGGGGGGTATATTGGAAAAGCACCATATTTTCTTTAAAACTATACAGCAAAAACCAAGGTCGCTTTGTTTTCATAAGCAGTTTGTACATTGACTGTTAAAAATCGACTACGATACCAGCAGCATTTATTTATAGAATAATTTCTCTTGTTGGTCACATTTTATTATGCTGAGGGGGAGGTGTTGGTTATTTTTCTATACACTCAAGAGGGCGAGGGGGTCTTGTCATATACTTCAGGGAATGTGGGGGTCTTGTCATTTACCAAAGGGGTCGTGGGAGTCTTGCCATATACTCAAGTGGGCGTGGGGGTCTTTTCATATACTTCAGGGGATAAAGGGGTCTTGTCATTTACCAAAGGGGTCGTGGGTGTTTTACCATATACTCAAGGTGGCCTGGGGTCTTGCCATATACTCAAGGGGCGTGGGGGTCTTGCCATATACTCAAGGGGTGTGGGGGTCTTGCCATATACTCAAGTGGGCGTGGGGGTCTTGCCATATACTCAAGGGACGTGGGGGGTCTTGCCATATATTCAAGGGGCGTGGGGGTCTTGCCATATACTCAAGGGGGTGTGGGGGTCTTGTAATTTACACTAGGGGCGTGGGGGTCTTGCCATATACTCAAGGGGCGTGGAGGTCTTGCCATATACTCAAGGGGTGTGGGGGTCTTGTAATTTACACTAGGGGCATGGGGGTCTTGCCATATACTCAAGGGGGTGTGGGGGTCTTGTAATTTACACTAGGGGGCGTGGGGGTCTTGCTATATACTCAGGAGGGCGCCACCTGAAAGAAGTTGACGACTGCTATAAATGACCATTTAATAATAATACCTTGACTTGTTATGATGTACAATGTGGCTAGCTATTCAGTCCACAATCTATGTGGGCTTAAGCGTTTCTTTCTTTCTTTTTTTTAAATCATGGAGCTATTTTCAAGTTTCTCTTCATCATTACAGAATTACCCTTTGAGTTTCGCCTCATATGCCCGCTGCGCCACAGGGCGTGTAAAGGGACCTATTTACTGTGACCTGTATTTACATTGCAATATGCCTATTTACATTGCTGTTGTTCCCAGGGCTCACTACTACCCCCTGAGAATCATTATTTTCTACAACACCAGTTCCGCTCCTCCTGCTCTTCATCAGTGTCTCATCATTGTATTCTTAAGCGTGCTAAAAACGTGCTGAAAGCCGCAACTATTTTATCTGTGCTAATCATAATATTGAAGTATGTGTCGTACACCTGTAATGTCAGTTATATCTAGTGGATTACATTCCAGCTGTTTGTGTTAATAACTCCTACATTGACAGGGATTATGAGATTAAGCATACTTCTGAAGTACGGAGGTGTGTACTGCGACAGTAAAGTCATCTGGACCAATATTATTCCTGAAGATCGTTTCAGGTAAGCCAGCTTGCTTATGTTCTTCATTGTTATATTTGACATTATCTATGCATCATATCATCATGACAACATGATATCTCCACTTTGAGACGTTACGTGACATTGCATCATATCATCATGACAACAGTAATATCACCACTTTGAGACGTTACATGACATTGCATCATATCATCATGACAACAGTAATATCACCACTTTGAGACGTTACGTGATATTGCATCATATCTTCATGACAACAGAAATATCACCACTTTGAGACGTTACATGACATTGCATCATATCATCATGACAACAGTAATATCACCACTTTGAGACGTTACATGACATTGCATCATATCATCATGACAACAGTAATATCACCACTTTGAGACGTTACATGACATTGCATCATATCATCATGACAACAGTAATATCTCCACTTTGAGACGTTACGTGATATTGCATCATATCATCATGACAACAGTAATATCACCACTTTGAGACGTTACGTGATATTGCATCATATCTTCATTACAACAGAAATATCACCACTTTGAGACGTTACATGACATTGCATCATATCATCATGACAACAGTAATATCACCACTTTGAGACGTTACATGACATTGCATCATATCTTCATGACAACAGTAATATCACCACTTTGAGACGTTACGTGATATTGCATCATACCATCATGACAATTCAATGAGTATGATCCGGAGGGTTCAGGCAGGTTCAGTGCGAAGACAATGGCTTGAATCATTACAGAAGTCCACTGTTTGTGAAGTCACCTTTATTTTTGTTCCGGGATACGCAGGCGTCGATGGAAATGAAAGAGCTGACAGGTTGGCTGGATCCGCTATCACTACCGACGGTCGGCCTATGGATCATGCTGATATTATCAATGCCCTCAGAGAAATGGGAAGGATAGAGGACTTTGGTGGCAGTGAATCCACATCACTCGCCAGAATGGCAGACTTGGGAATTAAGATCGGCACAGCAAAAAACGAGACGCACACCAGCTACGCCAGAAGACTTGTTAATCAACATAGAACTGGTACTATTAGCCATCGGACGTTGGGGTTAATACTGAGGGGAGGATCTGAGCACCTATGGACATGTCCGGAGTGCAATGAGGATAACCCAGCTAACTAACTAACTAACTAACTAACCATCATGACAACAGTAATATCACCACTTTGAGACGTTACGTGATATTGCATCATATCTTCATGACAACAGAAATATCACCACTTTGAGACGTTACGTGATATTGCATCATATCATCATGACAGCAGTAATATTACCACTTTGAGACGTTACATGACATTGCATCATATCATCATGACAACAGTAATATCACCACTTTGAGACGTTACATGACATTGCATCATATCTTCATGACAACAGTAATATCACCACTTTGAGACGTTACATGACATTGCATCATATATTCATGACAACAGTAATATCACCACTTTGAGACGTTACATGACATTGCATCATATCTTCATGACAACAGTAATATCACCACTTTGAGATGTTACGTGATATTGCATCATATCTTCATGACAACAGTAATATCACCACTTTGAGACGTTACGTGATATTGCATCATATCATCATGACAACAGTAATATCACAACTTTTAGATGTTACATGACATTGCATCATATCGTCATGACAGAGTAATATCACCACTTTGAGACGTTACATGACATTGCATCATATCATCATGACAACAGTAATATCACAACTTTGAGACGTTACATGACATTGCATCATATCATCATGACAACAGTAATATCACCACTTTGAGACGTTACATGACATTGCATCATATATTCATGACAACAGTAATATCACCACTTTGAGACGTTACGTGACATTGCATCATATATTCATGACAACAGTAATATCACCACTTTGAGACGTTACGTGACATTGCATCATATATTCATGACAACAGTAATATCACCACTTTAGGAAATTAGGTGACATTGCATCATATAATCATGACAACAGTAATATCACAACTTTGAGACGTTCCATGAAATTGCATCACTTTTATCACACCCTATGCGTCAATATTATATCAGACTTTATACCATCATTATAGCAATACTTCAGTATATGACAAACTGCATCTATTCGTGAAGGTGTTTATTACGCCAATAAAGTTGTCGGGACTTGTATCATACCGAAAGATCGCTTTACGCTGGGACTTGTTCCTTGCGTGCCCCACTCACTTAAAAAAAAATATCCAGCAACTTACAATGGTTCCTAACTCAGCTTTCAATATAGAAAACCAATTCTAACCTTTCGGTTAAAAGGCCTCCTAGTTTTTGCATTAGATAGATTTCGATCAAACCAAGCAACGAAAGAAGAAACTTTATGTTCAAAGGGTTCAGAACTGGACTTGCAAGCTTATTTGATTTTCTGCCATTCTGATCTGACTCCTTCTAAACAAAACTTCGTTCATACACATTTGAACAGCGACAACAACGAAATAATAATGTGGATCTGTAATGTCAGAACAAGAGATCCTACCCACCCATTGCACTATAAGTAAAACCCATAATCCTATCTACCGCCCCCCCCCCCACCCTTTTCCGCACCACTAGCAAAACTTATCTGAGAGCATATGAGTTTCGTGCCCGTTAGGTATACCTACGTGCAAATCCCTACCTGACAAACCACATCAGTTTTTACCACCGAGCACTTAAGTTTCAGAGCATGAGAATTCCATCCACATCAACCTTGAGCTAAGGAGAGCACATGACTACGATGCTCGGTGGATCTGCCACTCACGTACATCAGAGCCCGTCAACCAACACAGACCTCCATAACCGGACAGCACTATGAAATATGAAGGCTAGAATCATTGGAAGACTTCACCTACCATCAAAACTCATCAACATGACATGACCAACCCGCTCTTTTTACACGAAAAGACCGCTATGGTCACACGCAATTTTTAGTTACAATTTAGGATCTATCCAAATCCAGAAACTGTTTTCAGTACTTTTTGGCAAAGTTAAATACTTGAAATTTTAAAACCATAAATGATGGTCAAAAGGATGTTGTGTAGAAAACTCGTTCTCTTTCGAGATACGCCTGGACAAAATGGAAGGAGTAAGAAACAAGTGGAAACCTCAAGAAGAAAGGGGCAGGAGGGACACATCCGGACACAGAAAAGGATCAAGCGGTCTGTCTTGAAGGGACGGAAGATTAAGCCACAGAGCTAGCGCAGAAACCCTAATTTGAGCTATGAAAGTTACACAAATAACCAAGACCACAAATATAACCGAGACTGTTGGCAGCTTCAGCTGGCTAACAGCAGGTTTGTGTGAAAAGGAATCGGAATCAGGAATAATAATTACACAAGCTGGACTGTGCTCGGATTATGCTTCCATATCTAAATAACAACCAATCATAGTAATTGTAATAGATGGGAGGCAAATATACGATAAGCTTAAATATACCTCTTCCAGGGGGGTAAGTAGTGAGATAATATTCAGTTAACTTCCAGTTAGAGCCGATTCAACTATTAAGCAAGCACACTCTAGCACGCGCTTGGGGTATCACAAAGGGAGGGGCACCACATGCATTTTCAGTAGCTTTGGATCTAATTTTTACCTTGAATTATATTAACAACTCCAGTCAGAACAACGTCGGCTCTGTGGCTAAGTCGATGCGAACGCTTCGCTTCGTAATGCCGGGATGCCAGGTTCGATCCCAACTGCGGGTCATGCGCCTTGCGTTGGTTTCGACAGTGGTATAAAGAAAGCCGACCGTCCAGGAAGCAATGGCAAACTACTGGATGTAAATTGCCTAGAGAAATCACACAACAGCCAGGGGCTGTTAGGGTTGGTTCTGCAACGTCCTGTAAAGGATACGCAACTAACTAGAGAGTCAGTACAACAGTGCAACAAGCGGGACTGGACCATATCTGTATTAAGTAAAGAAGCAGGTGTGTTACATAAGATTAGTTTTGAAGATCTGATCAAATATTTTGCAATTAACAAAAAAAAAATCGGAGACAACTGTTCGAATACAAGTGAAGTGGAAGTTTGTAATCAAAGGCATTATTTTCCGTCCTGCTTGTAAGTTTTCTTTAATTGTGATGAATGCAATTATGGCATGGTTTGTTCATTTTGTGAATTACTTATATATAGGGCCACCAACCAGTGTCGTCGTGAAACATAGGCCCCGGGCACTTACCAGCGTCTTTAACTCTTCCACCACTCACTAAGATTTGTATCTCTTTCACCCTGTCGTGAAATGATAGTCATTACACATCGGTTTGTAAGGCTGATAACCTGTCTTACCTGTAATCTGCACAAAATTCAAACTTGGACTCGCCCAGAAATATATAGTCCCTTATATCTATATATATAGGCCTGTATTGGACAACATTATTATGTCTGCCTTTTCTGGTTACTTTAACTAAACTCCACTTTTAAATGTATATCTCTTGGGGATATATTTACGGAGTTAATTGAGGTTTCTTGGAAACCGATTTACTCCTTGCCCCAGTATACAAGGAACTTCTTTTGTACCAACACCTGAAATGTCTATCTGACGCCATTCTCCTTGCCAGCTTCTCAAGCCTCCAGATGTGTTAATCTGTGCCTGTATACTTTAAATTTTCAAGGCAATCTGGATAGGGCAGTTTTACATATGCTTGGGATGTATATTTTCTGAAGAGCTGGCAGAAGATTCACAGTCTCACCAACATCAACCAACATCCTACCACCAGAACCAA